TCTCTCTCTCTCTCTCTCTCTCTCTCTCTCTCTCTCTCTTCATTCCCGTTGACCGATCGTAACGAGTGAAAATAATTGTACGTTTCTTGGAAAACGCGTCATTGATACTAACTCATCTAACGAACGCGACGTTTGCAATTTTAACAAACATGATATCAATGTCAACTTTTTTTTTGTTAAGCTTCTAATCGTCTCATCTTTAATTCTATATATAGAGACATGCGGAAATATAAGATCTATATATCGTCATTTATTAGAATCGATTAGAGTTTGTATCGACTCAATTCTCGACTTTATATAACAACTTTATATACAATCGCATCTTTTATTTTATTATGCAAATTGGGGAGGCGTAGTACTCTGATTAATAAATCCGGTCGAATCGCGGCTGACAGTCCGGCGGCGAGAATCGCGCGCGAAATCAGGTCGAGACGTGAGGTAAAAGGGTGGACGTGGTCCAGACTCTAGCGGGAGAGCCTATTAAGGCCTCTTCAACTCCTCGGAGATGATGAACCACCGGCGATAGTCAGGGATGCTGCCGAGACACGCCGATGATTCCACCTCCTCTCGTTCCTCCTTCTCCTCTCGCTCGCACGGATACATCCCGGTCTGGCCTTCTCTCTCTCTCTCTCTCTCTCTTCCTTCTCCATTTCTTCTTCTCTTTCTCTCTTTCTCTGGTCGCTCCGTGCCTGCTCTTGGATTTACCTACCTGGGGCACTCATCCTCTACCATGTCATTATGTCGTTATTTCCGACAACGAGCGTGTCTCGGCGAACTCTCTCTCGTACGCTTACCTCTGCATCGACGCGGGTACGGGGCGCGAAGTCCGAGTCTCGTCCGGAATCTCACGGCAAACAGCACTTCCGAATCGTTAGATACGCTAACTAGATTTTAACGTATTGCGCGGGGGGGTTTGCAATTATTTATCTATTTGCTCGTTTCAAAAGTCACGCAACATGTAATGGTACCTCGAATCGGTACTTACTTGAAACATAACGCTTTAATAATCAATTATAATTCAAACTTTGTTGCGAAACCAATTAATATCCGTAATGATCACAAATGCGGCAGAGTGGCGTTTTTAATTTCCAGAGAAATTTCTTTTACAAAGTTCAAAGAAGTGCGGTGCGTGTCAAGACGCGCTCGCCAGCGAATATCGCCGCCAATCTCACTTGACCTCCTCAGGTGAGAAAAGCGTAATAATTATTCCGGGTTCGTCTGCTCGTTCGTTACTCGGAGGTGCCACCACGGCAATACACGGCGATTAAAAGCCCGATTCGTTAACGATTCGTCGCGGCGGTTTAAGCGCATTTCACAGGAATGCCGAGACACACGCGCGCTCTTTCCATCTCGACCACGTGCGCGCGCGCGCTTCGTCGCGAGTTGTCGACCAGAGAATCGACCGTTTCGTGGGACTATTAAGTAGCCTTAAAGACGACCGTGCCCCACGTTTCTCGCGTGCGAATGTGATCCTCGCCGATTGCGACTCGTCGTGAAAACGACTTGCTAAACGGCCCGCGTACACTTGGTTGTCGCACTTTGTGGAATACAAACAAGTTTTAAAAGCGGGGACAACGCCTTTCGCATTGAAGAATCATATATCGGATAATCGTTTTGGTTTTCGAAAGCGGGGCTTTCGCGATAAGAAATCGCGCGAGAAATAGAAATTGGGTAACCGGCCGGGTAAAACACCTGTTCTCGCGGAACAGATCTCGATAATACAACCGGGGAATAATTGATCGCGATCCTATTTAACGAACGATCGGTTCGCCGTTAACGGCGGAATTTAATCGACGATCACTCGCGAGTTTTCGATACAACGCGGCACTGTGCCGAGTGCTTTTTCTATCTCTTGTACATCCGACTCGTGACGACATTGACTCGGATAGTAGAGTCGTGTTACATCCTGCCGACGTGTTACATCCTTCCATCCTGGTTACTGCTGTGACAAAGGAACGATGTTACTGGAATTTGCGCGAATGTCGAAAAACGCCGTAGAAAAAGCTGTTCGACTATCGAGAAGAGGGGTATACAGAGAAGGAGTAAAAAAATACACGAGTCCATACGTTCGTGCGCAACGAAACGCGTTCCACCAATTAAAAAGAACACGATTCGACGAGATTCCCGAAAATAACGGGCGTAACGGGGCGTAGTTTTGGAAATAGAAGGTAGAAAAGAGTGAGAAGAGGTGGTGCCGTGGGAGGGAGAGAAGCGGAAGGAGAACGAGAGGCTCCAGCGAAGGTTGGGGGTCTCTCGATGGATGTGCGCACACGTGAAATTCAAAACCCTTATATTAAAACGCGCAGCTCTCGGATCGCGTGTTTAATTCAAAACAATATAATGCACGCGGCGACGTAGTCAGAGCTATTCCGCGCGCTTGCTGTTTCTCCTCTCCCATTATGTCCTCCATTTGCTATTAAACGGCAACCGGTATAGGAATTATATTCTCGCGTATTATCTTCTTTACCATTTGTTCTTTCACGAGCAATTCATGATACTTGCTTTATTTTTTTAATTGTTGACGAACTGTAGAATGTTTTGCACACTTTACCATGTCTTTTCTTATTTTTTTATGATATATGTCGGAGCATACGATACTGGCACGCGTTTGAATCTTCAGATATCAATGAGAATAGTATAGAGTACAGATATAGAAGAAAACGCTCACGATTTATGTATATAGAGCGTTTTAGCGTAGCCTAGGATTCTCTAAAATCTCGCTTTAACGACAGCGATGATGGTGACGATGGCTTTGTCCTAGGAATGCCCTTTGTCTATTTGCTCCGGCGGAAGAAGTACAGTATTGTTCTCATTGTAGAGATATTGACGAACGAGTAAGTTGCCAAGAAGGTGGAAAAAGAGAGGGATAAGAGAGGATTGTAAGGAGAATGCGTGACATCGGTCAAAGATGCTTGCGTGATACATACTTATTTCGCGTTCGGTTCTGGTCCTCGTCGTCGTCGTCGTCGTCGTCGTCGTCGTCGTCGTCGTCATCGTCGTCTCATCCTCTTCGTCCCCTTCTCGACACGATGGTCGCTAATTGTTTGCCAATCAAGCCGTCGTCTAACTCGTGGGAAGAGAATCCGTTGCTTTTCCTTCCCCATATCAGGTAGCTCGATCCAAACCGAGAAAGAGAGAAAGAGAGAAAACGCGATGTCACGCGTCACATCGCATCGCATCGCATCGCATCGCATCGCATCGCATCCGATCACACCGGATCGCATCCGATCGGCGATTTTACGCCGCGCGTCGCGCTATTGCTTGGCGGCGAGACGGAGATTGATGAGACAGCGTAAATTCGAGAGTCCTCTCCTTCGGATCGGAATGAATGTACCAGACGCACGGACGTCCAACGCGTTTCTTACGATCTTTCTTAGTCGCACTCGTGGAGAATGGCGTGAAGTGTGATTAATTATTCGGTTGCTTCGTGGCGGAAGAAAGAGAAGAGCCTTTTTCGTCACAACGGGGCCTTTATTCCGGAATTCTTGGAATATTCTGGCACAATATCAAGATGAGACAAAGTTCCCGCGCGAATTTCGCGAAGAATTCGAATTTACGAAGCGCGCGTTTAAAGAGGCTTTTTGACAATCGCAGGATTTATCAGGTGCGGAAATGCCATTAACATTCCGTACGTTAGCATTCGTATTCGAACGTATTTTTTGTATTCTCTAAATCTTCATTTCTCTTACGGCGGAGGATTGTCCTTTTACAGGGCGGATAATACCATATAGACCGTTAATGCCAAGATGGCTATGCGATACGTCGTCTCCATTACGCTACCTCGTTCTTGTCTCGAGAACTCCACTAATTGTTTTCCTGCCTATTTGCTCAACGTGGGAAAAACTGCGAAAGGATTCGCAGATCGAGATTAAGCGGAAGATTGTTCCATCTAAATTGTTCACTCTGTCCCGCAAAAATGTTCGGCTTTGACAGAGAAAGGCATACAAAATTAGGCATACAAGTAGACAAATTTATCTGGTACAAATAAATAAAAGCATTTTAAAATAAAAATGCTTTTCATTATTTTTTTTTGTAGTTATTAATATTATTAAAAGTATATATATATATATATATATATATATATATATATATATATATATATATATAGAAATTATTAATTATATGTCTTGCAAAAGACGAAGCAAGAAAATTGTAATTGCAAAATGCATGAAAGAGTGCATTTAAATGAGATATTTTGTATCTTTCGTTACAAATTTTAAATAGCTAAAGCGATTTTGCGATTGCGGA